TTTGTTCTAATAATATTAGTTAAAACAGAAGGTTTTTAATTTTAGGCTAGTTAATAAGAAAAAAAAAATAAAGAATGAAGTAGTTTAAAAATTAGAATAAAGGTTGAAAAAATAAAAAATAAAAATTTAAAATTCAAAAAATTAGAATAAAAATTGAAAAATAAAAAAAAAATAGAATAGAATTCAAAAAATTAAAATAAAAGTTGAAAAAAATAAAATAATTAAAAGTATAAAATTTAAAAAATAGAATAAAAATTAAAAAAAATAAAAACATAAAGCAGAATTTAAAAAATTAGAACAGAAATTGAAAAATAAAAAAAATAAAGTATAAAATTTAAAATTTTAGAATAGAGATTAAAAAAAATAGTGCAAAATTCAAAAATTAAAATAGAGATTAAAAAAAAGAAAAAAATAAAATGAAGTTTTAATTTTAATTTTTTAACCTTTATTTTAATTTTTTGAACTATACTTCATCTTTTATTTTTTTATCTCTATTCTTTTTTTTTTTAAATTTCATACTTTTATTTTTTATTTTTATAATTTTATTCTAATTTTTTAAACTTTATTTCATTTTTTTTATTTTCAACTTCTATTCTAATTTTAAATTTTACATTTTTATTTTTTTATTTTTTTAACTTTTGAATTTTGCTTCATTTTTTTTATTATCAATTACAAAATAAATTTTAAAATATTTTAATAAAATTTAATATTAGTTAATTTTAATTATTTAAATTTAATTTTATATAACTAAAATTTTAAATTTGTATATCTAAAGTTTATTTTTTAATTAAGATTTAAGTTTGTATAGTATTACTATATAAAAAATACATAAAGTTATTAGTAAAATATATATCAATCATTTATGAGTTATATTAGTATTATTTAAGAACTTTTATTACTAAATTTAAGAAAATATTATAGTTAATTAAATGTATATTTAATTATTTTTTATAAATAAAACTTATTTCAGAAATAATAATTTTTAAAAAAATAAGGTAAATATTTATCATTATTAAATTTTTAAAATTGTTTATTTATTTTTATAATATAATAACCATAAAATAATATATGTTTTTATGTAAAAATTTTTTAATTGCTATACCTATTATTATCTTAAAATATTATTAGAATATAATTTAAAATATTTAAACTTAATATAAAATAATTTAAAAATAGTATTAGATATTTTTAAAATACTTAAACATGAAAATATATATTACAGTCAACTCTTGATATAACGAACTCTTAATATAACGAATTTTTTGAACAAATATAATAAAAATACTCTTGTTATAGCGAATTGGCCAATCAAATCTCTTAAAATCTTCACTATAGCCTTATAGCGAAGTTGAGGTCTAGGATATAGAGTTCATTATAATAAGAGTTGACTGTATAACTATATCAATTTATATTAAGTAAAATAAGAATCACCTAATTCTAGCATAATTTTTCTTTCTTTTAAAGTTAAAATAAAATTTTAAATTAGATTTAAAATATATATCAAAATTTTTAAATTATCAAAAATTTCTTTTATAATAGATTTGATTATAATGGTAGTATGATAAAATAGATTTAAATTAGATCTAATCTATTGAATTTAGATTTAAATTTGAATTTAATTCATTATATTCAGATTTAAATTTTTCTTATTAAATAATTTATTATCATACTATTTTTAACAATTTATTATCATTTAATTAAAATAATATATTATTATTTTTTTGAATAATTTATTATCATTCAGTTAGAATAATATATTATTGTTCTTTTTGAATGATTTATTATAATTTAATTAAAATAACTAAAAATTTATTTCTTTTCAATAAAAAAACTTTTAAATTTCTTTTAAAGTTAAATCTAAATTAGATATAAATTTAGATTTTAACTGATCAATTAGATTCAAATCAGATCTAAATTAAACTAATCTATCAAATTTAGATTTAGATCTGATTTATAAAAATAAATATCAAATCAAATTAGATTTAAATAAAATCTGATCTGATCTTATTTTATTAAATACTACTGAATGATTATTTTCATCAATAAAATTAAAAAAATATAAATAAAAGTTATAAATAAAAAATAAAATAAATTATATAATAAATACCTTTAAAATAAATTTTAATTTAATTATAAAATTTACAATTTTTTAAATTTTTTTATTTATATTTAATTTAATAATAATTTTTATAAGTTTATATCTATATAATATAATTAATATTATATAAATAATATTTAATTAAAAATTAAAAATTAACTATTATCTAATATTATTACTTTTTTAAAAATATAATACTCTTTTTAAACAATTATAGTAAAATTATATTTAACTATATATATAAAAAATTTATAAAGTATATTATACATTTTATATTTTAAATAAAAGGAAATTTATTATTAATAAATTTTTATATCTTTAACATTTTGTATATTATCACTCATTATCATAGTTATATATAGACTTATGAAAACCATTAATTTATTTATCTAAAGTTAATAAAAGAAATATTAATAAAATTTATATTAAATATAAAATAAATTAATATTTACCTAATATTAAATTATTTATATTTAATATAATTTTTTAATTACTTTATAATTAATTTTATTTAATTCTTTTTCAATATATCTTTAAACAAAATTTCTTTTAATAGAAATATATAGGCTAAATTTAATTTTTTAATAAAATTTATAAAAAATATATTTAAAAAAAAATATTATCATAAAATATTTTTACTAAAGTATAATTAATTTGATTTATTCATTCTAATATAATTGGAATGCAATCATAAAAAAAGAGAAAATCTACAAATTTTGAGTAATTCTAGTTATTAAGCTAGTTTTGTTTACATGATCAAGATTAGCAAAGTGAATCAATAAAAAAATTTTTTGATTAAAAAGTGGATTTCCTCCTTTCTACTAACTACTTCCTAATTATTTAAATTAGTTAAATGACTATTTTAAATAAAATTTATTATTTTATTATTTTTTGATTTTAACTTAATTTAGTAAATTAGATCTTTATTTAATTCAATATCTTACTAATTTTAAATTAAGTTAATTAGTTAATTAAAATTTAATTAATTTATTATAATTAAAGAAGTTTTAATATTATATTAGCAAATAATAATTTAAGTTTTAAATAAATTTTGATTACATATCACTAAAACTTATATAATTAAATAGTAAATATATTTCTAAAATTAGTTTTAAAATTTTAGTTTTAGAAGAGATAAAAAAGTTTTGGATTTTGAAAATAATTTTGATTTTAAATAATAAAGTTATAAATTCAGATAATTTTAAAATAATTTTTGGTTAAAAATATTAGAAGACTTATATATAAAACTTATTTTTATAAGTAATAATTTATTTTCTTATAATTTTCTAATTTAAAATTTTGTTTGATTAAAAAATAAAAAATTCTAACTTTTTATATAACTTTTTAAAATATTTTTAATATTAAAGTTAAACTAATATATATAATAAGATAAAAATAATTTTTTTATATAAAGGATTTTTAGAAAAATCAGATTATAAGAAATTTTTAATTTAAATTAAGAGCTTAATACATTTTAATCTAATAACATCAAAAACTAAAATGCAATAAAAATTTCAATATTATTAAAAAATTCCCAAAACCTGATTTTCCTAACAATCAACCTACATAATATATATAAATTATAAATATTTATTATAATAAAATAAATTTTATAAAAAATAATTAAAAAGTATTATATATATATTTATAATTACATTTTAATTAATTATGTAATAATATTTTAAAAACTAATTCTATTATTTAATATTTATTTAATATTTTATTAATCAAATTTAATAAAAAATTTTTATAATATAGGAAGCAATCAGTAGAAAAAAAGGAAATCCACTTTTTAGTCAAAAATTTTTTTATTGATTTACTCTACTGATCATGATCATGTTAACAAACCTAGCTTAATAACTAAATTACTTAAAATTTGTAAATTTTTTCTATATATATAATCTTATTTTTTAGTAATTTATTTATTTAAAATTTATTATTTTCTAAATTATAGTATTGCTTAATAATATTATTAAAATAATATTTTTAATTCTTCATTAATTATTTTCTTGAATATTTATTTATTTAATATTAATTTTAATAGCAATGTAATTATAAATTAAATTAATAAAATAAATATTTTATTGTATTATTTTTTATTTATTAATATAATCAAAATACTATATAAATGCTATTAAAAACTAAAATAATCCATAATTGATATTTGCTTTTGAGATTGTTGTTTAAGCTGCTTAACAATCTTAAAGTACTTTTTAAAAAGGCTTAAATCTTCTACACAAAATTTATCAATATTCTGCTGCTCAAAAAATGAAATTCAGATTTTTAAAGATTAGAGAGCATCACTAGGAGGTACTAGGATTTCTTCATCTTCAGAATCACTATTTTCATCACGCATTTTCTCTTGGATCAGTCTTATAATATTATTTTTATCTAATATTCTCAGTTAGAATTTCTTCCAAGTTTTAGAAAAAATTGATTAATACATTTGCCAATGAAAAAGCAAAAGGGTCATCTATATCAAGTTTTTGATTATTTGATCAATATTAGCTGTTTTATTATCTATTACTTTTTGTTGAATTTGTAATGCATTATCTCACTCTTTATCAGATAAAGAAGGTAAAATTCTAGTTTTCTTTCAATAATTCTATACTATTTCTTCAGTCACGCAACTTTATGCTTTTGCAACATAATTTATTACTTCTTTTATATTAATACTTTTACTATTTATGTCTTTTTCATTTTTGAATAGATCCAGAATATGACGACAGTACTTTCTCTTGAAGTGGTTTTTAAAGCTTGCAATGATTTTAGCATCAAGTGATTGAAGATGACTTATGATATTAAGAGGTAAAAAGCCACTTCAATATAAGTTAGTTGAAGCTGAAAAGTATCAGATTGATGTCCTTCTGATCTATCATAATTATTACAACCTTTTGATCCACTATAACTGCTATGACCTTTTGATTCACCACCACCACAACTATCATGACCTTTAGTCTACTACCATTATGACTATCATAACCTTCTAATTTACTACTACAACTACTATGACCTCTTAATCTACCATTATAACCACCAAGACCTCTTAAAGCTTGACTTTCTATTATTATTAAATTATATTACATAATTAGCATATAAAAAAAAATAAAATAAAACAAAAAATAAATAAAAATAAAAATAAACCTAATCTTACCAGATGTAGATGATTCATCTTCATCATCTTCATCTTGATCAATTTTTACGGCTGGTAAATAATATGAATTGAAATGTGATAAAGCATTATCAACTAGAAGTAAGATTTTTTTATCTTATGCTCTGAAACAGCTGTCCATTTCACAAAGAACCTCTTCAAATACCAATGAGTTCATTTAAGCTTTAGGATTACTTTAATAATAAATGGGAAGATGCTTCAAATTAACTTTTAAAAGAGGCTTCAAGTGCTTTGAATTGCCGATTACCTATAGTTTAATTTATCAGTTCCTGTTGCATTCACATTAAAAAGAATTGTGATTTGTGTTTTATTTTTTTTAGCTAGAAACTGGTTTTATTGAGAATGTTTTACTTAGAAGCATTTGATAAAAAGGTCCTATGTTCAAAAAATAAAGAATATTAGCTAATTACACAAATTATATCACATTTTATACTACAATATTACGCATTTCTAATTATACGTATATTCAATCAGATTATAATATTTCGCATTAGTCCTTAAAACTTTTAAAAAATACAAATTTTACAATTCTAAAAACAATAGTGATAACAAAAACTGAAAAAGACTTATTATCAATATTGTAAATTCGATCAGGAGTATATCAACTTAAAATTGATTGTAATCTTATATATTCTTCTGAAAGAGATGCTAAAAGTACACTTTTTAGTTCACTATATATGCAGTATTTATAAATATTATTATGTCTATTAAACTTATGTAGCCAACCATTAGAAAAAGATAAATCTTCTTCTTAAATATTAAAAGCTTCAGCAAAGATTTTTGCCTTTTCTTTTATTAATAAATCCATTAATATTATACTACTGGCTATTATATTTTCTACTTATAGACTCATTGCATACTTAAGAACTGGAAACTTAATCTCTTTATGTCTAAAATTTTGAGCAGAATCTTCAACATTTATTGCTTTCTACTTATCACTTTATAACAGAATCTTTGAAATTGTATTTCTATCAATTTTTCATTTATTTCTGATCACTTACATATTTAATGTTTTATGTCATCACTTATAACTGAACAATACTGTTTTAGTTTAGATCTAATAGGAGGCATTTTTGAGAAAATTTCTTTTTTAAATGATGATCTATTTCTGCAGATTTATATGATTTAATATGTTACAGATGCTATATTGATAATCAAATATGTTATAAAATGATAACTTTAAAAAAAATCCTTTTGTGAGCAAAATATTATTAAAATTCTTTTTTTGTTTATAAATAAATTTCTATAGGAGAATAAGTAGACTAATAAATGGTAATTTAAAATAACCATATAAGTCTAAAATACTTTACTTTAACTTTAATTGTAACATAATATCTGAAGTTATTGAAATAATTGTAAAAAAATTAGAATGGTCTTTTTTTTTCAAAAAAAGAAAACAAAGAAAATGGAAATTTTATTCAAGAATTACATAAATTTATAATTTAAAATGGTTTATAATTTGAGAATAGATTATAATTTGTATTATACATTTACTTACATATTTACTAATACATTTACCAAAAATGTCACATAAAAAATCCTTTTATAGAATATTTAAATTGACCAATAAAAAATTATGTGACTACTAGAAGTTTTATTAATAATAAAAATGATACATATGTTAGGAATTTTTGTGTAATAGTAATTATAGCTAATATAGAGGTAATTTAATAATGCTAAAATTAGTTCTGTAAAAATGGGTGATTATATAGAAGTATGATTACCGTATTCCTCCAAAAATAAGCAATCTCCAAAAATAAGCAATTTCTGAAAATAAGCAACCTCCAAATTAACTTAATACCCGAAAATAAGCAACTTAATTAAATTTTATAAAATACCATATATAAAAAAAAATTTTTATTTTTAATGTTTTAATATACA